TCTGACTCCTCCACCCCTGGTCGTGTCGATGTACTACACGCTGGGTCAGGCCACTCCTCGGACTTAGACGGCCCACGGCCGCAGCACAACTGTGTGCTTCCCCACCCAAAGCCCCTAAAACTCTGGTCCCAAACCTCTCGCCCTGTGGGCTTCCCTTACAGCTCTGGCCCCACCAAGGGATGCACATGGCACCTCCTGTCCTAACACGTGTCTTTCTTGCTGCCCACCCTGAGGCCCCCAGGCAGTCCTGCTGTGCCCCCAACACACTCAAGCTATGAGGTCAGTGCCTCATGCACAAGGGAAGGTACTGCTTCCTGCTTCATGGTCCTTAGCGCTATTACTGATGCTTCAGATGACTCCCCAGCCTCTCTGATGACCACCTACACACAAGTCTCCCTATAAGGATGAGCCCCCAAAGCCAAGGGCCCCCTCTGTCATCTTTGCACCCAAGGCCTATGCACACAGCCCAGCACAAACATCCAAAAGGCTTAGGCAAGTGAGTGAATTGCTGGGTCCTGATTACCCTGTATACCCACAAAAAGGGTATGACAAGGCTCGGAAAACTCTGTTTTAATGACTTAATCTAAAAATAATGAGTTAAGCAACTGAGAGTGGGGAAAGGTACCTATGAGAAAATGGAGCCCAAAGGAAACAACTGAAATTGAATAAAAAAAAAATTGAGAAGCTGAAGCATAAGTTTCCTGGCAGCCAAAGCAAAAAGGGTATCACTGAGTAATAAATCTCCTATCCAAGAATAAGAGATTTATCAGTTCACAAGAACCAACACATTTTTCTAGCACTGAACTAAAAAGGGAATATATTTCACCTGGATTTTTATGTAAATGTTAGTGACTACATAGTGAATTAGGAACAAGATTTTAAATGACAGTTTTATAAAAACAAGCTAAAAAAAAAAACCCACTAAAATACTCTCCCTGTCTTTAATCTGCAATAGAAGATGAATGTAGCAAATGAAATTCCAAAGTGATATTTTCATAGAGAGGGACATTAGTATAACTGAGGCATACAGCTTTCCTAAGGTCTGACTTGACATGAAGTGAGCATTTCCAAAACCTCACGCTCTGAGTGATTAGTGTTTTCCTTAAGCTGGATGCTCAGGAGTTGGCGGTCCTCCATGTCCCTCATCACAAACCCAGGTGGACTTTAGGCAGAGCAAGACAGTTTACCAACATATAAGCTGGCCAGTGGGTGACACTTAAAAACCTAGGGAGAAAATGTGCACTGGGGACATTGTATTTTCTTCTAAAAATTAAGTGGCAGAACTTGTTTCTTGCATGGTGGCTCTGAGACACACTCCTACCTGTTCCCCAGTAGCAGCTCCTGCCTGTTTGGGGTCCCCAGCAGCACTGGGGCACTGACAGGGAGGCACTGGAGCCCTGGCACCCGCACAGGGATGACGTGGTGAGGACACTCAGAGGATGTGACTTATTGTCCCACCGCTCCAGAGGAGCTTCACCACCATGGCAATGGGTCATGTGACTTTGTGCAGGGCAGAGTCCTGTGGACCAGCCAACATGGCACAGAACAGCCTTCCTGCCAGACAGATGAGCCAGCGTACGGCAAACAAGGCCGTTCAGCATTTTCCCGCCAACAAGGATGGCACAGGTGCAGTAGGCTGTGTGCCGGCTTTCAGAGAGCAGCATGTGACAGGTGACAAGGACATGCAGGGGGAGGTTCCAACAGGTGATGGACATACAGGGGGAGGCCCCAACGGGTCACAGGGTCTTGCAGTGGGAGGTCCCAACAGGTGACAGGGACATGCAGGGGAGGCCCCAGAGCCGGTCCAGCCTTCCAAGACGGGAATTCAGGTAAAAGACACCACCTCCTTTCCCTATAGCCCCTCTGCTGTCCCAGTAAACCGCAAGGCTCATGTTCTGCCAGGTCCACACATGTCACAGTCAGAGACTGTACAATGGCCAAGTCAGAGGGGACATACAACTGACATTTAGGTCTCTCTGTTCTGACAAACCACTTGATAAGCAAATCAGCACCACATTTTGATTTTCCACAAGGCGTGGGGTCAGGTATCAACGCCACAGGAACAAGGGGCACAGTCCTGGCCTGGTGGAACCCCATGAGGGGTGCAGGCTGGTCTTGGGGGCCAGGTGACCAGGAGAGGCTGGGTGTGGGTTCAGGCACCGAGTCTCCCACCTGCACTGGTGCCTGGGCCCCTCAGGCAGCCATCTGAGTCAGCCCCAGGCCGTCCCTGTGGACCGGGGCCCTAACTGGGGATGCAAGGGGCCCACTGGCACCACGGCTGGCATGAAGCAGCAGCAAAGGCAAAAACAAACCAGTGCTTTTCTACTGCGGCTTTCTAGAAGTTACTGCCTGACTGATTTGCAGGCCCTATGTATTCAAAATGAAAACCAGTGACTGGAAGTGCTTCTCTGAAAAAATGACATCTAACCTTCCTCTTTCCCAGTTCTAGTTCTCCCATTTCTTTGCTTAAAATTGCAACTGAAGCCGGGTGCTGTGGCTCACGCCTGTAATCCTAGCTCTTGGGAGGCCGAGGCGGGCGGATTGCTCAAGGTCAGGAGTTCAAAACCAGCCTGAGCAAGAGCGAGACCCCGTCTCTACTATAAATAGAAAGAAATTAATTGGCCAACTGATATATATATAAAAAATTAGCCGGGCATGGTGGCGCATGCCTGTAGTCCCAGCTACTCGGGAGGCTGAGGCAGGAGGATCGCTTGAGCCCAGGAGTTTGAGGTTGCTGTGAGCTAGGCTGACGCCACGGCACTCACTCTAGCCTGGACAACAAAGTGAGACTCTGTCTAAAAAAAAAAAAAAAAAAAAAAAATTGCAACTGAAAAGGTTAAAAAACTCTTCCGTCTGGCTCCTGTGATATCCCCGCCCCTTGTTCCCTTGTCCCCTGCAGGCGTCCTGGGCTCTCTTGAGTCTTGCTGTTGTTTCAAATACCCTCCCACAGCCCACTCCACGAGGTTGGCAAGGAGAAAAATATATTTAAATAAACAGATAGTAGAAAAGCAAAGGGAAGCACTTGGAGATGAGTTACAAGTGTTCAAAGTTACATGGTATCAACCTCCAGCCTGAATCTGATAAGTGACTGCTCGAAGCTGCTCTGAGAAGCCCGGCCAAAGTCTTTAGCCGGTGTTGACGTGTTGCCCTGAGCAAAGGAGCTGCTCCTGGGAGCCACTGATTAAAGCACAGAGGAGCCCTCCGGTTGCTGGCAGGTGAGAATGTGGCAATGGCAGGGTAGGGTGAGGCACCACTGGCGACAGGACCAGGGCGCAGGGACACACAGGTGGGACTCATGTGTCTGGGTAGGTGGAGGCCAGACAAGGTGGGGGAGTTGGCGTCAGAACCAGGCTGACCTGGGAGTCAGCGGCGGAGGGAATCGGCTGCTTCATACAGGCTCCAGCCTCCACTCCTTGGCGGGATGGGGGAGCCAATTGTGTACAATGCTAGCACATGAGAGCCAACTCTGTACGATGCTAGCACATGAGAGCCAACTCTGTACGATGCTAGCACATGAGAGCCAACTGTGTACGATGCTAGCACGTGAGAGCCAACTATGTACAACAGCATGTTGTGAATAAGCCCGGCATATTTTCTTATTAAACACATTAAGAACACAATGAATTACATTCACCAAAGTAATTTATCTTCATAAGAACATAATTAAATTTTCTAGTTAAATAATCTATTTATCTAATAACTGTGTTTCAAAGATTTTCAATAGGGCTTGGAGGTGAATGCATTATTCCTGAGTGTGGTGCCAGGAGACTCACACATCTCACAACTCGCACAGCCCTTGTTACCACACTGGGTGCTGCAGGCCAGGGGGGCTGAAGCAAGACCATGACTTCTCTGGCCTTCTGACTGCAGGACCTGAGTGGGCCCCACCCCACACCCTGGGACAGTCACATGTCCCTGACAACCCAGAGGACAGGTTCCAGGGCTCCTCATCCTCCCCCACACCTCGCCTGGGCACCCCTCATCCTTTATGACAATCCACTAAACATGTTCTGAGTTCTGGGAGCTGCTCCAGCAGATTAATCGAACCCAAAGAGGGGGTCGAAGGGTCCACAACTTGAAGCCAGTTGCTGGGAAGCTATGGAGGCCCGACTGGGGTCTAGGGGTCTTGGGGACCGAAGACGACACTGGTGTCTGCTGCTGCAGAACTGTCGCCGCTAGGTTGCAGGAGAAACCCCACACTTGGTCTCAGACACCTTCCGTGTTGAATGTGTGTGTGAGAGCAGAGGGGAAACTGAGTTTTTCCTAAATCTCTGGTTCTCCATTTGGGGTTTGATGGTTTTGGATTCTTTAATCAGGAAGCTGGAAAGATCAATGTACAAGAAAACCACATTTTCTTGATATGTAAATTAATTAAGGTTTACAGTATAGAGTTTCTTAGTTCATACTAGTTAAAAATTACCTGAGAAAAATTTGTATTTGAAAATTCTAAATTCCTCTAAAGGAAGTTTTCAAATAGTCAATGTACGGGGAAAACCACCCTTTCACCCTCAGGTAAAACCCAACCTGCAGCATCACTTCTTCCGCCCCACGGGAACCTACTCACAACCCTTTCCCCTCATCCTGTGAGACAGTCACTTGCAACAGCAGGTAAAATAATTCAGTTTCTTCTTAAGAGACACAAAATAAATTATATCCTGGATTACAAAAATTGATACACAATCTCAGAAATTTTGAAAAACTTAGAAAATCAAGAAAAACGAGTTCTACTAAACCAAGACAAATACCATTAACATTGTGTTATATTTACTTCCATACTTCTAGTGCACTAACAAATGTGGCTATAATCACATTCCCACTTTCCGTCGTCTCCTGTCATGACAGTATTCTGTGCCCGTGTCCACTGGCTGTGCACCTGCGGCTGACATACTGCACTGGCACTCCTGACTATAGATCCGGACAAAGTTCAACGACAATACTGGAAACCTGGGAGATGACGATGTATCTGCAAAGGTGTTCACCTTTCCTCTCCCACTTTTTACCTTCCGAATCATCACTTCTGGAGATGTTCTCAGAGTTCGTACAGCTGTCCAGCTCTGGCGCGCAGGGAATGTATCCCTCTGGAGGGAGACTTACGGTGTAGATCCGCCTCCCAGACAGGACCTTGGTGTCCCTGTCTGCAAAAAAAAAAAAAAGGAAAATAGCATGAATGGGCAAATGCTATATAATGCAATCAGACAGTTATTTTCCCTGATTACATCAACGTTTCTCTAACTAAATTCATTAAAGACACGAAGTCAAATAGCTCAACAGAATCTAGCCACTGTCATAAATACTGATTTTAATATGCCATGTATTTTGCCAGAAAAGCAAGTCAGCTACATATCCAGCCAGGAAGCAGGAACAATCTATGATTATTTAAATTCATACTTCATCAAAATTAAAATTTTCTGGTCTTCAAAATACTGTAATAAAAAAATAAATAGGCAACCGCAGATGACTGGGAAAAATACTTCTGGTAATTAATATGGAAAAAGACTTGTGTCTAAAATATGTAAAGAACTTTTAGAATTGATAATAAAAGTATAAAAAATCCACTTGTTTTAAATGGGCAAAAGGCTTAGACACTTAAGAGACACAATGGACAGTAAGCACAAATTTAAAGATTATCAAAGCACAGTCAGTAGTGAATCGAAACCACATGGAGATACGACTTCACATGCACTCGAGGGGCTGTGATAGAAAAAGACTTCCAAAGTCAAACACAGGAGCATGTGATGGATGCACACGCTGGTAAACATCTATTCACGTTATGACCCAGTAATTCTACTCCTCAGTTTTTACCCAAGGGTAGAAAAACACATTCACTAATAAAACCTTGTACAAGGTACCTGGTAACTTATTCCTTATGGTGCAGAATCAAGACAGACAGGGACAGTAGAATGGATAAAGATTGTAGGACAGCAAGATGGCGGGATACAGCGTTTCAACATGACGGATACAGTGTATTAACAGAACGGGATACAAGGCATCAACACAATAGAATACAATGCATCAGCATGGTGGGACACAACGTATCAACAAGATGGGCTACAACATATCAACAGGACAGACACAAATGTATCAACACGAATGGACGAATTGCTGATGTGCAAAATGACAAAGTGTCCATCACATCAAGCAAAGTCAGCCAGATGGAAAGCAGTGCATTCTGTTACTCCTTAGGGGACATTCGGGCAATTCAGACATGACTCTGTGGTGCCAGGGAGGAGGCAGGGATGGACCATGGCAGGTTGCAAGGACACACCCTGTTTGGGGGCTCATTCTGGAGCATATGACCATGTGCTGCTGAAGTGGCCCTTGTGACCTGATGTTTCGTGGTGATGGACACAGTGGCCACAGGCAGAATCCAGGTGCACCAGCTGGATGGTGGTGGGGTGAGACTGAAGCCTGTCTCCCCCACCGCTTGGACAGCTGTATGGGGTGCCCAGGCCCACAGCTCCCCCAGCTCAGGGTCAGGCTGAAGGAGGCCTGGGAGTAGGCAGAGAGCTACCAGACTGCCTGCCCCACCCCTGGGAGCTGGAAACTCAGGGCTCATGTCCATCCTCTGAATTCTAGGCAGAACGGCCTCTCGGGCCCCACCGTAGCCAGAAACATCTGGGGAAGGAAGTTCTGGGGAACACAGTTTGGCAAACCCAGGGGTCACGAATGAAACTATCATATCTGTTAGTTACACGTTAGTAAAATGAAAATTCAGGTGAGGGTGGGGCAAATGCATTCACTACCACCTCCCCCCAAGGCCCCACTAAAACCAGAGTGAGTGGATTTGTAGTGGAGATGACAGCTGGACAGCAGACTGGCTACCACGCCCAAGAATGACAGCAGACGAAGCAGACACAATGAGGTATGTTCCAAAGGGGCCCCGGGAGCCCCTGGAATAGGGGCAGGATGGCAGAAAGGAAGGGCCACTGAGGCCCCCAGCCTGACTGATGGCCTTGCAGTGCCCACAGAACCTGAGGCACCAGGGCAAATGGGGACACAGTCTGTCAACAGAGACACTGGGGACTCCAGCCCTGTCCCCCACCCAGCACCAAACACCGAGACAGGAACAAAAATGAAGCAGGAAGGGTGGAAGCAAAGTTTGAGAAAATCTCCCAAAAAACAGATTAAGGCTTAAAATGAAGGGAAAAGTGATAAGAAACAGGGTGATCTATTGGGAGACCCGTGGTCTGAACAGCAGAAATTCCATACATAGAAAAGGAAGGAAAGGAAATTATCGAGAAAACAACATGACATGTGTGTCCACTGGCCACCTGCATGATGGGTAGAGACAGGCCCACACTGCCACCCTGGGCATCATACTCTACCACACCAGCCAGACAGAAAAACCCAAAACAGCCTGGGGCGGGGGGAACTGCTCACGTCCAGTGTGGTTGAGAATCAAAACAACTGACCTCTCACGGTGACACTGGATGTTAACAGTAAAGTTGTCAAAAGTGTGAGGGAAAATTTCTGGTTCTAGTTCAGAATTCTATACCCTGGGAAACTTTTAAGTATAAGGATTAAGAGATATTTGTCATTCAAGATCTCTAAAATACTTATCTTCCAAGATGCATTTCTCCGCAAGCTACTAGGGAATGTGTTTCAACAAAATAAAAGCAAACCCAAGAGAGGAAGAGAAAGGGGCCCCTGAAGTGCAGGGAGAGGGCCAGGAGGCCAACATGGTGGGGCCCGGAGGGTGGTGGCCACAGATGTTGATGCCAGTTGAGTTCCTGATACATCAGACCACAGAGCACAGACGGTGAGGTGGTGGGGAAGCTTGGGGAACACTTAGTGCTAAGTACTTAGAAGAAAATTTTTTAAAAAATAAGAAAATTATTAACTCTATTAATATTCCACTAACAGTTACACAGAACAGAATAATCACACATCACGTGACAAAGCTAGAAAGAGGTTTACAGACACACAAAAATGTAAACAATGGTGATATAACAAAGTTTTAAAGACAGTTATGTTGGGAGGACAAAGCGTGGAAACTGTGCACGTTTGTGGTGGGGACAGTGGAGAAAACAAAATCTTCAGTTCCCAAAGTAAGGTGTAGCCCCCTGCCAAAATAAAAAGGGAAAAGGAAAGTAGGGTGTGAGAGCATAAGTGTGTTATTTAGAGGCAGGGGTGTGACTACCAGAGGCAACAGCTGAGGAGCTGGGCCCAGCATGTGTCTGTGTGGTTGAGAGTGGGGCAGATACCACTGTCTCTTATGGGAATTCCTGCAGAAGTATTTGAACCTAAAATATATGAAAGATATAACTGACATATTGTTAAAAAGTAAAAAAGGTCCAACACGGGCTCTTCAGTGGAAGAAATTTACCAAAGTGTATATGCACGTTGGTAATTTGGGGTATTTGCAGATTAAGACCTAATCTTTGGGAGCAAAGGGAATTATCAACACTCTTCAGAACCAAAGAGAGTCAAAGAGTTTTTGTAAAGGGAAGAAGTGTCAATGAATTAGATAAACAACTGCCATAATTACCATGCCCTGTCCTAGGGACAGTCCCCTCCATCTTGTACCCAAGGACTGAGAGGGCAGCTTCCCCACGTGGCTAGCTCCTCTGTCCCTCAGAAGTGAATGCAGCCCCAGCCTAGATGACCAGCAACTGCTTCCCCGAGAGTGGCCATGCGGCTCAGGGGAATTCCCACGCAGGCCTTTGCAGAAGCATCACACAGTCTGTACTTGTCCTCCGATCGTGATTTCATCGTTTTGCTCCCAGCCAAGATTTCTCTTTTTCCAGCTGCAAACAAATATGAGGTTTTTCCTTCAAAGTTCCCATGGTATGTTACTCTTTCATGATGAAAAGAACAATTCACAAACTGGGACTAGAGGGGAACTTCAATGATGATGGCCAGGTATGAGATGCCCATAGCTGACACTGAACATAGCAGTGGAAAGTGGATGCTTTCTTCGTAAAACCAGAAGAGACCAGAATTCCTCCTCTTGACACTTTCTTTAGCATTACTCTAAAAGTCCTAGCCTGGCAATTAGTCAAGGGTTAGAGAAATAAAAGGCACCCAGGTAGGACAGGAAGAAGAACATCTTTGTCTTGTTCATTTTCTTATTGCTGCATTTTAAGAGTTCTTTGCACCTTCCGGGTAAGAGTCTTTACCAGATACGTCTCCTGAAAATATGTTCTCCAAGTCTGTGGCATATCTTTGCATCCTCTTGGCAATGTCTTTCACAGAGTAGAGGTTTTTAATTTTAATGACGTCCAAATGATCAGTTCTTTCTTTCATGGGTCATGCCTTCGGTGTTGTATCTAAAGTCATTGACAAACACAAGGGGGCACCTATATTTTCTCCTATGTTATCTTCTAGAAGTTTTATAGTTTTGTATTTTACATTTAGGTATATGATCCATTTTTAATAAAAATTTTTGTGAAAGGTATAAAATTATAGATTTTTGTGCTTGGGAATGTCTAGTTGTTCCAACATTTGTTGAAAGAACCATCTTTTATCCATTGTGTTACCTTTTCTCCTTTGTCAAAGATCAGTTAGCTGTGTTTACGTCGGTCTAGGTCTGCCCTCTCTCTGCCCTGCTGATCTGTCTGTCTGTTCTTTCACCATCTTGATTCCTGCTGCTTTGTGCAAGCATAAGCTTGAAGCTGGGAGAGCCAGCCCTCTGCCTTTATTCTTCTCCTTCAACATCATGTTGGCTGTTCTGTTCTTGGTCTTTTGCCCCTCCGTGCAAATTCTAGAATCAGACTGTCAACACCCACAAAGTGACCTGCTGTGATTTCACCTGTGGTGAATGCATAGCTGAGTTAGGAAGAACTGACATCCTTTCAACACTGGGACTTCTATCCATGGAATAGGACACCATTATTTAGTTCTGTGATTTCTTTCCTCATAGTTCTACAGTTTCTTCATATATGTTGTGCATATTTTGTTAGATTTACACCTAAATATTTAATTTTGGGAGGTGTGTTAATGTAAATGATATTTTGCGTTTTTTTTGTTTTTGTTTTTTTTTTGGAGATAGGGTCTTGTTCTGTTACCAGTGGTTGATAATAGTGGCCTCGTCACAGCTCACTGTAACCTGGAACTCCTGGGCTCCTCTTGCCTTAGCCTCCAGAGCAACTGGGACCACAGACATGTGCCACCAGGCCTGGCTAATTTTTCTATTTTTTGTAGAGATGGGGACTCACTTTTGCTCAGGCTGGTCTTGAACTCCTGGCCTTAACAGATTCTCCTGGCCGGTCACGGTTGCTCACGCCTGTAATCCTAGCACTCTAGGAGGCCAAGGCAGGAGGATCGATTGAGGTCAGGAGTTCAAAACCAGCCTGAGCAAGAGTGAGGACCCCCCTACTTAAAATAGAAAGAAATTAATTGGCCAGCTAAAAATATATAGAAAAAATTAGCCGGGCATGGTGGCACATGCCTGTAGTCCTAGCTACTTAGGAGGCTGAGGCAGAAGGATCGCTTGAGCCCAGGAGTTTGAGGTTGCTGTGAGCTAGGCTGATGCCACAGCACTCTAGCGCGAGCAACAGAGTGAGACTCTGTCTCAGAACAAAAAAAAAAAGAGAGATTCTCCCATCTTGGTCGCTCAGAGTGCTGGGATCACAGGTGTAAGCTGCTGCACCCAGCTGATACTGTGTTTTTAATTTCAAATCCCACTTGTTTATTGCTGGTATACTGGGAAGCAGTTGACTTTGTATAATAATCTTGTATCCCGCAACCCTGGTATAACTCCTTATGAGTTCCAGAAGTTTTTTGTTCATTATTTTTCATTATTTTTGTTCATCATTTTTGTTATTTCATTATTTTTGTTCATTATTCCAGATTTTCATTAACTGCCTTTTTTAAACTTTGCTATGCTGATTGAAAAACAGGCATATTTCTAGTGGGCAGAACAGGTACTGTATAGGTTTTCTAGGGCTGCCATCACAAAGTATCACAAACTGAGTTAAGCAATAGAAATGTATTGTCCCACAGTTTAGGGGGCCAGAAGTCTGAGACCAGGCATTCGGCACAGGTGGTGAAAACCTGTTCCAGGCCTCTCTCCTTGGCTTGTGGGAGGCCCCTGTCTCTCTGTCATTACAGGTCATCCCTCTGTGGGTGTCTGTGTCCCAATCTCCACTTCTTACAAGGACCCCAGTCATACTGGATTAGGGTCTACCCAATGACTTCATCTAACTTTAATCACATTTTTAAAGTCCCATCTCCTAAAACAGTCACTTCTGAGGTCCTGAGGGTTAGGGCATCCATATGTGAGTTTCTGGGGAAACTCACCAGCCTGTAACAGGTGCACTCTTTGAAAAGCAAAAATACATTGAACAACAGTTACTCCTTCGTGTTAGTTCAAGCCACTTTAATTCTACTCTACGATTCTGCTGGGCTCTGTGTAAGGCAGTGAAGTTTAGAGCCAGGTATGGTTGCATGGGGTGGTCTTGATGGGACACTATGCTGGGAGCTTGTATAGTAGCATCTTGAAAACATCGAGTCATTTGAGAAGAATACAAACAGGGAACCCAGAATGTGCAGATCTGTCCTGTTGGAAAAGTGCACTTAGTGTGACCCAAAATCTAGATGAAAGGAAGGAAATACTGTCCTCACTCATCTGATACCCACTGGAATCCAGGCGGAACGTGCCCATGGGCACTTGTCACGTCACCGGTGTAGCAGATTTTCAGGGCTTGTCTGAGACCTAATCACTGTGCATAACATCATTCCTGAGGTGAAATGTGCCCCAGTGAATGGAGATCTGACCTCAGGCAGAGGCGGATGTGTGGTATAGCGCAGGCTGCTGATGTCCAACTGCAGATATGTGGGCAGCGGGAGTTAAACTGTCCCTTCCTCAAGGTGCTCAGCTGAACCAGCAGGTGCTGGAACAGCCCTTAGGACCCATGTCCTATGGAGAACAAATGCCCAGAGAGACGGGACTGCCAAGGGGACACAGCGGTGGTCCCCAGACAGGGTGCTGGGACCCAGGGGTAGCATAAGACCGTTTCAACCTGGGAACTGGGTGGTTCTGCCCATGTGTGCTGGGCCCCAGGTGGCCTATTCATCTGTCTCTCTCAGGGTGGTCTCGCACTGGGGGACCAGACCTGGCCAGATCCCACTGCAGACGACCCTGCTGCCCATGTGACTACAGGTGTGGCTGTGACGGGACAGACATCTGCCCAAGTACAGGGCGAGGACCTACAGGAGCCTGTCCCTAGTGGCCACAGCCAAGGGGACCACAGAGGCCACATGAGTACCAGAACAGTGAAAGGAACGAGGGGGGCAGGTGTTCTCAGAGGACAGCAAGGCCTGGCCCAGACAGTCACAGCCCAAGTCCCACTGCCATGGCCAGGGGCAACATGTACATGCCCAAAAGAAAACAGAGCTCTCACTCAGCTGTGGCTGAGGTATTCTGGGTCTCCCCATGGCCCCAGCAATGCCAGCATGCACAGTGCCACACACCTGCTATGTGCTGTGAGGACCTAGGCAGGCCTGGGACAGCAGGAAGCCCGGTCCCAGGGGACACCCTCCCGGGTGTGGGGGCAGATGGCAGAGTCAGACCGAGCACCTGTGACCCAGCCACACCTGAAAACACCCACCTGTTGGAGGCTGCACAGGCTGGGTGCTCATGTCCTCATGGGACACATCCCTTGGTGGGTTAGGGGCAGGAAGAGTCTGCAGCTCCCTCTTCTCTTGGCCACTTGGAGCATCAGGAAAAAGTCTCTGCAGCACCTTTTCGACAAACACTATCAGGGTACACAATGAAGAAAGAAAAGAAAAAAAAGTAATGATTTATGGCAGTTTTTATAAATAAACTTTTATTTTTAAAAACACAAAATCACCCAAGCAATACCACCTGAGAGCCCAGCTCACAGCCCCCACATGGGGCACTGCCTCCAGGACCCCCAGAATGGCCTCCCAGACTCTGACCTTAGGGACCCTGCCCACCAGAAGACCTAGACACTGTCCCCAGGGAACCCCCAGATGCTGTCCCCAGAGGATACCCAGACACCATCCCTAGGGGACGCCAGACACTCACTGTCCTAGAGGGACCCCAGACACTTCCACAGGTGCACTATCCCCATCGTGCAGCCTGCAGCTGACCCAGCCCCTTGGGGTAGGTGCTAGTGGTTGCAGGTGTGCAGCCACAGCAGTGCTGCCCAGGTGGTGCAATCCAGGCATTTGTGCTGCTGGTTCCTCTGTGATGTCATGGGCCCTCTCTGAAGGTAAGGCTGAACGGCACCTGGGGGCCAGAGGTTGGCCAGGTCTGCGGAGGAAGCACCAGGCAGGGATGGGCTCCTGCCTTGCTGCCACAGGAGGACACGACCTGGATGTGCCGGCACCTGCAGTCGAGGAAAGAATCTGTGTCCCTGATGCGGCTTCGAAGTTCTGTGGACTTTCTTCCCTCTTGTTGTTTTGTTTTTGTTTTGTTTTTTTCTCTTTTGTTTTTCTTTTTTCTTCCCTCTGTTTACTATAGTTTGCTTTGTGTTTTAACCAGAGGGAGAACACTGTCATGATGAATAAACATTTTGGTCCTGATTTAATGTAGTTAATGAACAGGACTGATCTCAAAATAGCATACTGAAAAAGGTGAGGGGAAAAAGTTAATGAATTCTTTTTAACCTCATGAAATATAGAAACGAAAAGATACTGAGCTGCTTTGCAGTGACCAGAAATCACAACAAACAGAGAAGTTGCAGCAGGGCAGGTTCCTCATAGCAAAAATCCCATGGAACAACCATAAACTCAATCAGTGGACACTCGCAGGTGGACGCTGTAGGTATCTCTGCACTAAGTGCAGAAACAAACCAACACGAAAGAGGCCAACCTGAAATTGCAGCCCTGCCTTCATAACACAGACTATTCTTTCGGGAGATTGTGTGACCTCGGCCACGAGCCCATGGGACCCCACAGCCACTTGGCCTTTAGGACTCAGCACACCGGGCTTCTGCAGCTCCTGCCTGGGACTGCTCAGGTGGCCACCCCCGGCTGGACATTTGGGACAGGTGGTCCTTCCTCGGGGATAAGACTTGGTCCCAGGCTGGGTGGTCTGGGTGGCAGGAGGCCGTCCCACAACCCCGCTACTGGAGAGTGCACCCTGGGCGTGAGGCTGACTCCATGGGCTCAGCCGCGTAGGGCCCAGACCTGCTGCGGGTCAGGATGGCCCAGTTTCCATCGCCATAAATGTCACTTTCTACCCTGCCCCACTCCTCCCTGTGGACAAGCCCAACCAAGACGCGACGCCCAGGGACAGGAGCTTTTCACCAGCAACAGCCATGGCAAAGCCCCGTGGCCTGAGGTCTGAGGGAGGGCCGTCTCCACTGCCCAGCCCTGTCCCTCAGGTGACAAGGACCCTCTCTCCATCTTCTGAGACCCCCACATTGGGGACGCCGAGGACAGCTCCTGCTACCTCACGCATCAGGGTAGCAGAGACAAGGGAAACGGGTGCCGAGGAGGGTGGGCAGGCCTGTGGGCTTGGGTACCCATCAGACACCACAGAGCCGCAGCTGCTCCCAGGGAGCCTTGTCCCAGAAGCATCACCTCCCCCAGTGATTTTCCAAGTGCATCCAACCACATCAGTCCTTGCTCAAGAACCGTCAATCACTTTGCACGAATGGGCCATTAGTGGGGCAGGAAGGTCTTAGACGTCCACAAAGACAAATAAGACATCTGAGCAGTAGATGGAGGCAGCACAGACGTAAGCAGCAGCAAGGCCGGCACACCGCCTTTGCAAAGGAAGACATACACCCACCCCGGCCACACCCACCTACGACGTAAGATGGCAAAGCTGATGCCAGGAATGATGGGCAGTTACCAAGGACGGTGGGCGGGACCTGGGAATGCAGGTTTAAAACGGTTAAACACACGTCAACATAGATACAATATGAGTGTAAAGGTTGTCCTCAAAGTCCTCCATCTCGTGGAGGCTGGGAATGAGAAGGAGGCCATGGACATGGATGCACTCACTCATCAAGGTTGAGAAGCTGATACAGTCCACCTCTTATCAAATGGGAGAAACAGTTTCCTTTTTGGTTTTAAACTTGAGCACAGCAGTCCAAAACACCAAAACATAAAGGAAACCTTTTGTTATCCTGAGCTATACTGGTTTAAGTATCTTATAAACCCGAGTGGCTGAAGGGACTCCTACTGTGTGCTGGTGTGTCTTAAAGCCTCGTATGTGCATCTTCTCCCCACGCACACGCTTCCCGGGATGTCTCTGGTGCCTGGTCCCTCCCAGGGCACACGTGTCTCGTGAAAGGAGTGTGTGTGGGAAGCCCATTCCCACTCTTCCCTGCAAACTACCACAGAAAAACGAGCATCGAATGCACAGTTCTTCTCTGAGAGAAGCTGGTGACCAAGGCATGACTTTGATATCAAATACTGGCAACTGCTGGTGTTATGACAAATTATCCACGATCCATGAATTATTTATAAACTACGCTGCAAAAAGCACGAGAACAGAGGATCTCAGATGTCGAAATGGGCATCTCCTTAAAAAGTGGGAGTTTTCGTCCTCAACAAGAACTTTAATAAATCTTAACCCAACTTAATCCGAATATCCAATATTTCATCTAAAAATGAAATCCGAATATCCACTATCCGAATATCCAATATTTCATCTAAAAATGAAATAATTTTGCTGACAAATATACATGACTATATACTTTCGGCTCTGCAATATAAAGCATAAAGATTTTTTAAATAATGTGATTTTAATTTTTTAAAATCAGTTTTAAAAGAGCAAAGTTTAAAAAGCAGAATTAAAATATCAATAATTACTTTCCACTAACACAGCTGGAGAGTCACTTTAGCCCAGCACTTGAGACTGCTGGAAGGTGGGACTGGGTGTGAGACTTTGTGGACGTGGCACCATGTGGTCTAACATCCGCACAACTGTCCTCTGAGACAAGACAAGCTGGCGAGTCTGCAGCTGTGGGGGTGGATGGTACCTGGGTGTTTGGGGTGTGACCACAGCGCTACAGGCCACAGGTCAGGAGACAAGGATGGGCTCTTACTCTGTCTTCTGCATGCTCCGGTGTTTACTTACATAGAAACAATCAGCTCTTATGGATCAAAACCACACGCGCAGCCACAAACCGCTAGGGCTACCAGTGGAGCAAGTCCCCTGTGAACCACCAGACAGCTTCATGCAAAGGTGGGCTTAACTCAGGACATGCAGTACGTCTTCCAACGGGCCAACTCTACTTTGTGATTAACATTAAAAGCAGAACATAAATGAAGGCTTTTTTTTCCCAGAATAACCAGAACATTATAAAGTATAATTTTTAAAAAGTATTTCTCATTTTTGGTTTCTTGAAATACTTTTTTGACCTAGTGTATTTTTTGTGTATGTATGTGTTTATGTACTACAGACGTAAGCTAGAAAATCAAGTGAAAGGTCAAAAGTCTCTTTTCTGCTTAATTTATGAAGTGTTAAAAACAAAACAAAAAAACCTCACCCAACAGAGCTGGTGAAATGGTGCTGGAGGAACTCTCCAGTGCTCCGAGGTGTCACTCGGGCCAGATATTAATAAAAATTGCTTAGTGGTCACAGCAGATGCTGACACCCCCCCCTCCAGAAACCCGAGGCCACCTCAGTTCTCATTTTTCTCACACCTCATCACTGTGCTCCTCTTCCAGCAGCAGGAGCGACTTTTAACTTGAAGCTCTAGTGTCTGTCAAAAAGCAATCACTGAAAAATAAAAAGGCAGGGATGGGTGTTTAATGTCAATCGAAAAAAATATCCTGCAGGAAGACAAACTTGATTTCCAAGCAGGCAATCAGAAGTGGGAACTGAGAGGCAATAGCAGAAGGCCAACATGGGGGAAACATCCAAAATTAATATGCTGAAACATCAAACAAAAACAAGGCTCCTTGCACAGGGGAATTAATTCATCTTGGTGCAATTTTCAGAAAGGACTACGGGTCAAACTTGCTGTTTCAATTGAAAGACGTAAACCAAAATAAAATCTTTCAGTAAAGCGTTCTTTGGAAATTAGACAACTACGAAAACTAAATATGTGAATCCTAAAAAGAACAGAATGTTTGATTGCTGGTGGTAAACCTGTCCAATCCTAAACTCTTCCGCAATGTGTTATTGGATTTAAAATCTAACGATTGGGGATGAAAAGAGAGATTGGTGGTGAGGGCAGAGATTAAAAATAATAGCCCATTTGTGATACTCTAACCAAAAACTTCAAAACTTTTATCATCCCTATAAATGAGTAAATAGAAAAGTGAGACTTTCAGAGAAAAAAACATGTGCAGCTAATCTGGGGATGCAAGGAGGAAAAAGTTCAAGAGAGACACGAGAAGCAAGGAGCGCAAGGCTGACAGGGGGGAGTGCTCACAGGAATTCACAAAATGATAATGACAGAGCTTTCCAACTGGACACCTGACACTCCACGTTGAGAGAAAAAAACACGGAACAAAACAGGTTTATGACATTCCTTTCAGAGTTTTCACTTGATAGACCTGTGAGTGGAAAAGTGATTAGAATTCAAAGTGAGAATTGGCAGGCTTTAAAACAGTCTGCTACTGAAAATAAGACCAGAAATACCGTTAGTAGGAAGTGTCACTGGGCAAGTTTGATTTTCCCTCCTTACCCCAGCCTATTGCATTGGAGAAAATCTCCCAGAACATTTTCACAACTACAACACAAAAACAAAACAAATTATTTCATCAGTTTAACGAAAACTGAAAAATTCCCATCTCAATAAATACCAGCTCTAATTATTCCCTTGTTCATCCTGACATCCGCCTGTCTTATTTTAACAGGCATTTGAAATTTAAATTTTCTTAGGGTTGTTATATTTTTTTGAAATCTGGTATTTTAAATTTTCTCTTTTCAGTGAAAACTATGTTGAAATGCTGGTCTGAACATATGGGCGGTCTACCCATAGCTTTCTTGGCAATGATAATCACTGGGTTTTTTTTTTTTTCTTTTTCTTTTTCTTCCTATAATGAGGCATAATCCAGAGATAAAGGAATAAATTGATAGTAGCATAGTATCACTTCATGAGAAGAAATGTTTGGTATAGTATGTTAATTCAATGAATAAAAGATTCTTAATGAGTTTTGTAATAGAATTATAAATGGAAAAATAATTAAGATTTAAGCAAGAATTGGCAAGCTTTCTGGAATATTAATGAAAAGAAAAACAGTACTCCAAGTAAGGCCAGAAATAACACTCAAATAGGACACCATCAGAGTCT